GCTCAGCCCACAGTATGCCTGGCTGACATTTAAACTGTCTGTGAATGGAGCCATAGTTGCTCTTTGCCCTTCTGAAAGACAGCACCTTTGCCCACTTCTGTCCATCTCTCCCCAACAGATTATCGAAATCTGACCTTTGATCCGGACACTGCCAACAGGTACTTCTACCTGTCCCACCAGGACCTGCAGGTGACACATGGTTTCCAGCCCCAGGGCCCAGCCAGGCCAGGTAGCTTCGAGCTATGGCAAGTGCAGTGTGCCCAGAGTTTTCAGACTGGACGGCACTACTGGGAGGTGCGTGCCTCTGACCACTCTGTGACACTGGGTGTCACCTATCCGAAACTGACACGGCAGAAGCTGGGAACGCACACTGACAACATTGGCCGTGGGCCCTGCTCCTGGGGCCTCTGCATTCAGGAGGATAGGGTTCAGGCCTGGCATAATGGGACGGTCCAGCGCCTCCCTGGGGTGCCTGGACGGCTCCTAGGCATGGATTTGAACCTGGCCTCTGGCTGCCTCACCTTCTACAGCTTAGAGCCACATACTCAGCCCCTGTACACCTTCCACGCTATCTTCAACCAGCCCCTCTACCCTGTCTTCTGGCTTCTCGAGGGGAGAACCCTCACTCTTTGCCATCAGCCTGAGGCCAAGCTCCCTCCAGGGCCCCAGGAAGAGGTCTCAGTGCCCAGCTGAGGAAAGCAGATGGGATGGAGCTCTGGGTGCCACCATACCCATGTGCCCAAGTATCACAGCCCCAGTAGCAAACCTTACTTTTCAGCCACTTCGAAGGGCGCAGGGACTAGAGAGAAATGAAATAGGAAGCCCTAGCCCCAAGCAAAGGTTTTAGCATTGCCCGTGCATCTCAGGCTAGAGCAGTGCCCAGGGTAGTCCTGGGTTTACAGGACAGTGAGAGTGACAGACTAATATAGAGACTAGTTCACCTCCTACGGAGAACGTATGGACCAAAGGTCAGCACCGCAGTGAACCACAAACTGAGAAGAGCATTCTAATGACTAACAGACTCATTTACCCAATGCTGTACATTTAAACGACTTTTTTTTTTAGACAGGGTCTCCCTGTAGCCTCAGCTGCCCGGGAACACCCTATGTAGAACAGACTGGCCTCAATCTCACAGAGATCCACCTGCCTCTGCCTCCTAAGTGCTGGCATTAAAGGTGTGTTCCACCATGCCTGGCCCAACGAATGTTTCTGAATAAGAAACTTTGCCCACATGTGTGAGTTCTGTAGTAGTTCCTTTTCTGCTGCTGTGATAAAACACTGACCAAGAGCCAGGCGTGGTGGTACACACCTTTAATCCCAGCACTCAGGAGGCAGAGGCAGGTGGATCTCTGTGAGTTCGAGGCCATCTTGGTCTCCATTAGTGAATCCAGGCCAGCTACGGCTATAGGGAGACCTTGTCTCAAAAAGACCAAAAAAAATAAACAAAAAACCCACTGACCAAGGCAGCTTCTAGAAGGAAGGGTTTATTTGGCTTACGGTTCCAGAGGAATGAGTCTATCATGGTGAGGAAGCATGGCGGCAGAGGCAGCCAGAGCAGGAAACTGAGCGCTCACATCTTCAGGCACATGCAGGAGAGACAGACAGACACAGGGCAAGGCTGTGAACTTTGAAAGCCCAGTGACGTGCTTCCTTCAGCTAAGCCACACCTAAAGGTTCCAAGACCCTCCCCAAACAACGCTACCAACTAACCAAGTGTTCAAATACTTGAGATTTTACTTGAGACTATAGGGGACACTTCTCATTCAAATAACCACATGATGATTATGTACTTAAAGTTAGGGGCCGGTAAGATGGCTCAGTGGGTAAAGGGGCTTACCACCAAGCCTGATGACCTGAGTCCAATCCTCAGGACCCACATGGTGGTAGACAAGAACTGATTTCAACCATGGCACATGCCTCCCCAGCCCCCACCCCCACATACACATAAATAAATAATAAAAATTTTAATTCGTAAAGTGGAACTACTTATCAAAAGACAATGAACAGTTTAAGATTTTACATATATATATAAAAGGGCACAATGACATGCCTTGGAAGTCACTGACCAGCCAGGTAACTGGCAAGTTAGCACAGCAGAGACTCAGCCTCCTGTTACCCCACAACATAGGTGTGGGTACCAAATGTAGGTTTGCGTGTAGTTAGTGGCAGCTGTGAGCATCTTTTTGTTTTGTTTTGTTCCTTGCTATTCCAGAACATGCTTCTATGAAGATCCTGGTCTGTTTTTGCTCACAATTCTGGAAGTAGAGTTGGTGTGACAGTATGACTTTTTAATTTTATTTTCTTTCTGTTTTTGGGGGGGTTCTTTTTAGCCTCAGCTGGCCTGGATTCCCTATAGAGACCAGGCTGGCCTCGAACTCACAGAGATCCGCCTGCCTCTGCCTCCTGAGTGCTGGGATTAAAGGCGTGCACCACCACGCTCGGCTTGTTTTTGTTTTTTTAATTTTAAATTTTTAAATTTTTTGTACTGGGGATGCTACCTTCTGCCTCTTACAACATCCCCAGCCTGGCATAATTTCTTTAAAACACTTCACTTTCTGATCTTGGTGGTTGTAGGAACGACTTGCAACATGAACATGAACTAATGACTTTTACTTAACCTTGTACCAGAAAACGCCTGCTTATAGTGCAAACAAGCTCACTGATCCATGAGCTCCTATTGGGACTTGGGCTTATGACCCTGGTCCCAGAGCATCCCACTTTGCCCCCCACCCAAGGCAGCAAATGGATGTGGGTGTGCTTGAAATAGCACGCCAAGACGCTGAAAGCCATGTTTTCTATACTCGCTGGAAGCAGTGAGAATCGAGAAGTATGCTTGATGTGTGTAAGAGATGTTTTAGACCTAGGGATCAAAGGGCAAGATTCTCTGATAGATAAGGGTGGGTCCAAGTTTAGTGTTCCCCAATTCATGCTGGAGAGACTGTTTGAATACAAGGCCTGGCTCAGGAGCTCGGTTCTGTGAGAGGTCTGAAGGAACAAACTCTCGGAGTCCGAGTCCACTCTTTAATGCTGAGTCAGACTGATTATTCCGGTACGACTATAATGTGTCTTAGTAACACCACAGGTGGTGGTTATGAGGACGTCTGCTTTTGTATTTTTTCTTTGTTCTTTGGTTCGTTTTTTCCTTTGTAATTTCTTAAGTGTATGTCTATGTTTTATACTCATGGGTAAATATTTCACAATAAAAGTTTCTCAAAGGGAAAAACAAATTTTGGGGGGTCTTTTTTGAGACAGGGGCTCCCTGTAGCCCCAGCTGGCCTGGCACTCACTATGTAGACCAAGCTATCTTCGATCTCACATACATCTGCCTGCCTCTGCCTCCTGAGTGCTGGGACTAAAGGCATGAGCCACCATGCCCAGCTGGGAAAAACATTTTTTTTTTTTTAATTTAAGGGGCTGGAGAGATGGCTTAGTGGTTAATAACACTTGCTGTTCTTGCAGAGGACCCAGTTTTGGTTCCCAGCACCCACAGTGGCTAACAACTGTCCATAACAGTTCCAGGGAATCCGACTCCCTCTTCTGCCCTCACTACACATATGTGGTAGACTTACATGCATGTAGGCAGAACCCTCATACACATAACTTTTTTAAATTAAAAGTTCTAAAAGTGGGACTGGAGAGATGGCTCAGTGGTTAAGAGCACTTGATTGTTCTTGCAGAAGACCAGGTTCAAATCCCAGCACCCACACGGCAGCTAACAACTGTCCCTAACTTCAGTTCCAGGGGATCCGACAGCCTCTTCTGTCTTCCTCAGGCCTTGCACCACATGGGTGCACTTACCTACATGCAGGCAATACACACATACTCTTAAAATAAAAATAATAAAATTAAAAAAAATTTTTTTACAAGTTTTTAGAAGTGACTGAATGGTTAAAAGCACTGGTTGTTCTTGTAGAGGACCAGGTTCAGTTCCCAGCACCACATAGTGATTAACCACCACCTCTAACTCCAGTTCTAGAACATCTGACGCCCCCTTCTGGCCTCGGCAGGCACCAGGCAAGCACTTACATTCATAAAATAATATAAAAATTAATTAAAAAATGTTTTTTTAGACAGGGTCTCCCTGCAGCCCCAGCTGGCCTGGAACTCATTATGTAGACCAGGCTTGCTTCAACCCACAGAGGCCTGCCTCTGCCTCCTGAGTACTGGGATTAAAGGCATGTGCCACCCTGCCCAGCCTAAAAATAAATCTTTTAAGAATGAAGGTTTTTAAAAATATTTTATTATTTTTGTTTTATGTGTATGAGTGTTATGCTTATATGTAGATAAGTGCACCCATGTCGTGCAATGCCCCCGGAGGACAGAAGAGGTTGTTGGATCCCCTGGAACTGGAGTTACAGACAGTTGTTAGCTGCCATGTGGGTGCTGGGGTTCGAACCCAAGTCTTCTGCAAGAATAGTTAGTGTTCTTAACCTCTGACTCATCTCTCCAGCCCTAAAAACAAAGTTTTTAGGAGACTTTCTTACATTTTGGGGGGGGGCATGCATGTGCTATGGTGAGCATGTGGAAATCAAAAGAGTCTGTTCTCTTCCACCATGTAGGTGACTGGGGGCCAAATTTAGCTTGTCAGGCTTGGTGGCAACCAGCTTTACCTGATGAGTCATTTCACCAGCCCCACACTAAAAGTTCTTAAAGGGTAGGGACTGGAGAGATGGCTCAGCCGTTAAGAGCATTGGGTGTTCTTGCAGAGGACCTGGGTTCGATTCCCAGCACCCACATGTCAGCTAACGGCCATCTATAACTCCAGCTCCAGGGGATCTGACACCTTCTTCTGACCTCTCAGGCACTGCACGACGTGGGTGCACCTACCTACATGCAGGCAATACATTCATACACACAAAATAAAAATAATAAAATATTTATTTTTTAAAAGTTCTTAAAGGGTAATATGTGCAATAATATATACCCTTGGAAAAATACAAACATTTTATACAGATGATTGAGCAACACTAATCTGAAAATTCAAAATGCTCTAAAGACTTGAATTTTATTAATTTTTAAAGATATATTTATTTTATTGTGTGTACCTGGGTATATGAATGTATACTACCTGCTTGCAGATACCCACAGTTACCAGAAGAGGACATTAGGTCTCCTAAAATTGGAGTTACAGGTGGTTATAAATGCTATATGGGTGCTGGGAAATGAACCTGGGTCCTCTGCAAGAGCACACGTGATCTTAACTGTTGAGCCATCTCTCCAACCCCCTGTGTTGTTTGTTTATTTATTTATTATTTTTCTTTTGGCTTTTTGAGACAGTCTCCTTGCAGCCCCAGCTGGCCTGGAACACACTATATAGACCAGGCTGGCTTTGAACTTACAGAGATCCACCTGCCTCTGCCTCCCAAGTGCTGGGACTGTAGGCATGCACCATCATGCCTGGCTGTAAATAAAGCCTTTTAAAAATCAGGCAGTAGGGAACAGAACAAGAATGGATTATGCAGTTTCATGTTGCCTCTGACTGGCAGTTTAAGAGAGTGGAGTCAGACTGTGATTATTTGGTTGTTGTTGTTTGTTGTCTGTTTTTTTGAGACAGGGTCTCCCTGTAGCCCCAGCTGTCCTGGAACTCACTATGTAGACCAGGCTGGCCTTGAACTCAGAGAGATCCACCTGCCTCTGCCTCCCAAGTGCTGGGACTGTAGGCATGCACCATCATGCCTGGCTGTAAATAAAGCCTTTTAAAAATCAGGCAGTAGGGAACAGAACAAGAATGGATTATGCAGTTTCATGTTGCCTCTGATTGGCAGTTTAAGAGAGTGGAGTCAGACTGTGATTATTTGGTTGCTGTTGTTGTTTGTTGTCTGTTTTTTTTGAGACAGGGTCTCCCTGTAGCCCCAGCTGTCCTGGAACTCACTATGTAGACCAGGCTGGCCTTGAACTCAGAGAGATCCACCTGCCTCTGCCTCCCAAGTGCTGGGATTAAAGGTGTGTACCACCACGCCCGGCTGTTGTCAGTTTTTAAAAGATATATTTTTTAAATTTATTTTATTATTTTAAAAAAAATTCTATGTGTATGAGTGTTTCGCCTAGGTGTAAGTGTACCACATGCATGCAAAGCCCTGCAGAGGTCAAAAGAGGGTGTTGGAGCTGCCACTCGGGTGCTGGGAATCGAACCCAGGACCTCTGGAAGAGCAGCAAGTGTTTTTAACCACTGAGCCATCTCTCCAGCCACAAGACTTATTTTCATTGTCTGAATATGAGTGTTTTGCCTGCATTTACATCGTACACAACATACATGCAGTGTCCACGGAGGCCAGGAGAGGGCATCAGATCCCTTGGAACTGGATTACAGATTACGTGGTTGTCAGATGCCAAGTGCTGGGAAC